ACAGCTCCACTTGTGGCTTTTTTGGGGGGGATGGTTAATTGGAGATAAGAGTCTGATGGACTTTCCTGCCCAGGCTGGTTTGGAATCCCCAAATTTCAGCCTTTTGAGTAGTTAGGATTAAGGTGTGAACCACCAGTACTCGGTAGGTTATTTGTCTTCTAAAGGACAGGGGTGTATATTTTTCTTCTAAAAGAAGGATAGAATAGTTGAGAAGAATAGACTACTTGCACACTTACTCCTAGATACATTTCCTATAGTGGGTTTCCAAACTACCAAGGTCTTAGCTAAAGGCAAACATCTGGAAGCTATCAGTATATAAATGAGTATAAATGTGATCACCAGGGAGAGCAAAGAGAGTGCTGGAACCATCCTGAGGAAGTAGGTACAAAGGGCAAGGGGAAAAAGCCCAGTGGGGAGACTAGGAAAGAATATGTGCTGGATCCTGGAACTATCTTTGCTCTGGAAATATTACCCTTTTTTATTTTTAAGAAACCTGTACAGAAATGGACAAAGGGTGAACAAATGCAGCATTGGTACTCACTAGATACTGTGTTGAAAATGCACTGTACACTGGGCTCCAGTGGCTCAGGCCTGTAATCCTAACTACTCAGGAAGCTGAGATCTGAGAATCACAGTTCAAAGCCAACCTGGGCAGAAAAGTCTGTGAGACTTTGATCCCAATAAACTACTCAGGAAAATCTGTAACTGGAACAAGTGGTAGAGTGTTAGTCTTGAGCACAAAGAGGCCCAGACAGCACTCAGGTTCTGGGTTCAAGCCCCAGGACTGACCAAAAAAGAAAAGAAAAGAAAATGCACTCTACAACTTGTGGGAGGAATGCGAGGGGAAAACTGGGAGAGTGTGAGTGGTAACATTGTCCAAAAAGAAATGTACTCTTTACCTGACTTATATAACTTGTAACTCCTTTGTTCATTGCCTCTATAGTCAAAATAAAAGACAAAAAAAAAAAGAAAAGAAAACCTAAATGTAAATACTTTAAATCTTTCAAGTTTTCAGCATCACAAGACTAATTTCAAAACAGTGTAAGTGATAGGAGGTTGACATATACATTTTGTTATTACAGAGATTTACCACAATATGGACAGAAGCAGTGGCAGTCCTACTTTGGAAGGACTTTTGATGTTTACACCAAACTCTGGAAGTTCCAGCAGCAGCATCGGTAAAGGAACTTTGAAGGAATTTTAAAGGAGAGTGAAGGCCCGTCTATAGTAGCTACTGTTTTCACCTTTAACTTAACTACCTTAGCACTTTTTATCTTGGGACTTAAAGCCATCATTTCATGTTCATGACCCAAATAAGAACAAACCTTTTCTCCCCCTATTTTTTTTCCTAGTCCTGGGGCTTGAACTCAGCTAACTTTTTTTTGGGGGGGGGGCGGGGGATCCGGTCGTGGGGCCTGAACTCTGGGCCTGGGCGCTGTCCTTCAGCTCTTCAGCCCAAGGGTAGTGCTCTACCACTTGAGCCACAGCACACTTCCAGCTTTTTTCTTTTTGCTTATGTGGTGCTGAGGAATCGAACCCAGGGCCTCAGGCATGTAAGGCAAGCGCTCTACCACTGAGCCACCTTCCCAGCCCCCTGAGGCTTGAACTCGGGGCCTGGGCACTCTCCCTAAGCTTCTTTTGCTCAAGGCTAGCACTCTACCACTTGAGCCACAGCTCCACTTCCAGCTTTCTCTGTTTATCTGGTACTAAGGAATTGAACCTAGGGCTTCATGCATGGTAGGCTTGCACTCTACCACTAAGCCGCCTTTCCAGCCTTTCCCCCCCCTGTTTATCTAAGATTTTTAAACTTGGTTGGTCATGGGGCTTGAACTCTGGGCCGGGGTGCTGTCCCTGCATTCTTCAGCTCCAGGCGAGCACTCTACCTTTTGAGCCACAGCGCCACTTCCGGTTTTCTAGTGGTTTATTGGAGATAAGAGTCTCATGGACTTTCCTGCCCTGGCTGGCTTTGAACTGCAATCCTCAGATCTCAGCCTCCTGAGTAGCTAAGCTTACAGGCATGAGCCACTGGTACCCAGCTCATCTGATTTTTTTTGAGACAATGTTGTATATTCAGATTAACTAATATGGGGGAAATGATCTGTGGTTTGCTTGAAAATGCATCTGCTTATTGATCAGAGCTATTTAGGGAGGAGATATTGCTTCTAATTTGAATGAACAGAGCTCAAGGACTTCTTTTTATATCCCAACTTACTTTTAAGTAGATATTTAATAAATGCTTTTAATCTTGTTGAAATCTCATGAGAAATTCAAAAGCTTTGCTAATTGCATGCTATTTTGTCCTGCTTAGTATACAGATTTGATTATTTTTTAAATGTATAGTTGCTTATTTTTATTTTCTTGTTTCCTATATAAAACAGACAAGTCCTGGATAATCGGTATGGCTTGAAGCGATGGCAGATAGGCGAAATTGCTTCCAAGATTGGGCAGCTCTACTACCACTATTAGTAAGTAAATTGTACATTTGAAGACTGAAACAGTGCCCTGATTGCAACACAGCCTGCCAACGTCTCATACATGCTCACTGGTTCTGGGCTAGACAGTGAATTATAAGTGAAATGTGGTTCAGACCAGATTTCAAGGCAGCATCTTGAAACAGCCTTCCATAATACAAGCAGTTGTACTTGCTCCAAGGAAAGAACAGTTTATTTAATCAGGCTTAAAGGAATTTGGGGGGGGTGTATGCGTGCATGCATACATGCCTATGTCGTGCATGCACACATGCCTATGTTGGACTTGAACTCAGAGCCTAGGAGCTGTTTGTGAGCTTCCTTGCTTCTACTACTTGAGCCACAGCTCCACTTCTGGCTTTTTTGGTGGCTAATTGGAAATAAGAGTCTCACAGACTTTTTTGCTTGGGCTGGCTTTGAACCATGATCCTCAGATCTCAGTCTTCTGAGTAGATAGGATTATAGATATGAGCACCCCTCTTGGTCTTGTTTCTTTTGGGGAGGTCCGATTGTGGGTCCTGTACTCTGGGCTTGGGCACTGTCCCTCAGCTCTTCAGCTCAAGGCTAGTGCTCTTCCACTTGAGCCACAGCGCCACTTCCGGCTTTTTTCTTTTTGCTTATGTGGTGCTGAGGAATCGAACCCAGGGCCTCAGGCATGCAAGGCAAGCGC